TTTGTTTTTGTTCTTTTGTTTTACCCTTTTTGCTCCCTTGGTGATTATGTTGGACCACCTATGTATATAGACTTTTTGTTTGGCTGACTACATGTCTGAAAGTTCCGGGATGTACCAAATGTTATAAGATGTTAACTCTGTTTACATGTGTGAGTTATAATGGACTGCTTATGAAATGTTTTTGCTTTGCCATGTAAGCACAGCTCATTAGACAAAATCTTTAAGTCCGCTTCTGTTTTGGCCCTTTTATTTCTACTGAGATATGTTTAACCTTGTTTGAGGCCGTAGGTAATCTCATGATTACTGGTCAGTTATGACCTTAATTCATATAGTGGGTGGTGGTGGCGAAAGACGGTGGTGGAAAATGGTGGCGGGCGGTGGCTAGTGTTGGGTGGTAAAAAAAAAAAAACTCAAAACTCAAAATGGAAACACATTTTTTGAGTTTACATTTTTTGGCCAAATTTATAAACTGAGACCACTGATTTATAAATCAAAAATTTACCAAACAAGTTTTTATTTGAGTTTTTTAAATTTTTGTAAATATAAACTGAAAACTGAAACATAAGTGTTACCAAACGGCACATTTGCAACCCACTACTTTAATTTGTGTGATAAATTACAGAGAGAGAGAGAGAGAGAGAGAGAGAGAGAGGACTTAGGCCACGTTTGGCAACAGGCCGATTTAGCCAAAAAGTCAAAAAATTACAAAAAAAAAGTCAAAAAGCCAACAATTTATGCCAAAAAGTCAAAGATTCTCTTTTCTCTCTACTTTTTACACATCTTTTCGTAAAAAGTCAAAAAATCATCCCAAACATATTAATTTTTTTAGCTCATATTTTAGTGAAATAGCCAAAAAATTATTAAATTAGTCTGTTCTCAAATGAGGCCTTAGAATTTTGGGCTCAATTAGCTTTTCTAGAGTTGACTTAAAGTAATTTGAAAAGTTAAGAATTTAAAAAAACAAAAAAACAAACATACTATACAAAAAAAAAGTCAAAAATTATTTCTCTTTATTTTTTACGCATTTTATTTTTATAAAAAGTTAAAAAATTATCTCAAACATATTATTTTTTTACCTCATTTTAGTAAAAAAATTACTAAAATAACTTGTTTCTAAGTGACAATTTTAAATGATTTTTTTTTTAAACATTGTTTCTTGCAAATATTATTCAAAATTTAAGTTTCTCACCTCTACTAGATGAAAACTATTAAATTGGGTTGGTTGAGATAATCTAAATAAATACATTTTTTGACTTTTTATAAAAAAAATGTGTAGAAAAGTAGCGAGGTGATGTGATCCAAATAAGTGCACTTACTTAAGTGATGCTAAATTTTTTTATATATTGGGGGTCAAATTGATATTTTGGAAGGAAGTGAAATAAAGTTTTAAAATAAATTTTGGTGTCCATCTGCAACTTCTGTTTAATTATAAATGTAAGCTAACAGGATAAGTAAAATTGATTCAAAATTAAATAGTTCAGATGTAAAATCAATATTATTAAAAAAATATGAGTTAAATTGATTTATGTTAGCAAAAAAAAAAATCCAATTTAAGCCCAATCAACAGTGATTGATTGACAAGCTCAAACAAATTTTAATAAACACAAAAAGATAAGGTTTTGTGGTTGAGTTCTATACCTTAAACAGATTAAGAACTTCCCTGAAGATAATTAAGTAAAGAAGGATTTGAATAGAAAAGAATATGTATTTATTCAATTAAAGTATCACTTGCTATCAGTTACAATAACTCAAATAAGAACAAAGAAATGAAAAAATATAGTAATCAACAAGAAGAAGAGAAGTGAGGGTTGGAAAACTATTATTAATCTACTCCTAACAAATGGTAAGTCAAATTACTCCTAGATAAATATCACGTTTTATCCATGGTGGTTGCGATGATTCCTTCTTCTTTGTACCTATCTTGGCCTATTTATAGGCTCAGTTACATGAGAAAAAGAGATAACCTAAGCTCACGATTTTCTCAACAAGCCCATGATTTCCTCAACATTATCTATATCCCATGTTTGATAGGAACCATTTTACAGATTTGGTACTTGATTTGATCTTGACTCCTTGATCTCAACAACTAACTTTCAAATTGCTGCAATTGCTAACTTTCCGGCCCTCCATTTAACATGTCATCATGCCAAGTTCTTAATACATCTGTCATGCCACGTTAGCATGCCTGTTAACAGAAATAATAACAATAAAAACAAATGCGGTTAAGGTTATTCTTTGAAAATAGTTTATAATGTCAATTGACAGACCATAATCGAACTTGACCATAATTAGTAGGCCACAATTGGCAGAAAAATAAAATGTGATGCAAATAATGCCCCCTCATTTAAATGGATTGAAGAATGAAATCCGATTAAATGATTTATAAGGCGGTTTAGCACAATCAACATTTATGGTGCAAATAATTCAGATTCTTGAAGAGTTATATTACATCCATAATAATTTTTAATCTATCATTGTCAATTTGGCGAACACTCCATCTTTGCCTTTATCGAGTGACATAGCAAAGAGTATATCCCTTATTTTTAAAATAAAGCAATTCTTTGTTAGCCACATTTTGGCTAGTTAAAAAGAATTTATTACATATAACATTTTTCATCCATTATTGTTTTTCAAACCATGTCATGAAAATTAATTTTTGGTATAATCTACAAGTCCAAAGTGGATATTGGATCCCAAAACTCACATAATTGAATGTTATGAAAAAATCATAAATTTTGACACTTCGAATAATGCCAAAAAATTCACTTTCAATGAACGTGAATTCATAATTTTCAGTCATCTTTGGCTTAAAATCATGCCCCACAAGTAAATTTTTACCATCATTTTGTGATGATTTTTTTAACATTTTTTGAGAGAATAGGTTGTTCTTTTCTTTTTTTTTTTAGCCATTAATGACTTGTCACTTTTTGCCACATTTGGCAAAACATCATGCTCCCCAAGTGAATCTTTATCATCAGGATTCTCAATAATTTTTGAGAGAATGGGTTGTTTTTTAATTTTAGCCATTAATGGCTTATGAAAATTCTCCAAAATCATATTATCTCCTTGACTTGATGTGCTAACCCTTCGAGCCACATACCTTGGCTGACTCTTCATGAATGATTGGCTCTTAAAAAATATGTGTGTTAACCGTATGAGCCACATTATTTTCATATCTTAATTTTCCATTGGCCATTATGCCTTCTGATTTTTGCTTTCAATATAAAATTTCTTCATCAATTAGAAAAATTTGGCCTTTAAGTCGATGAGTTTTTTTATCACAGTAATGAAATTATTTGAAATCTTTGCCTATAAAGAGAATTAATTTCTTCTTTTAGGACTAAAATTTTACTCCTGTACCAATAAATTTCATCCTCACAATGCCAAATCATTCTTTTCACATCATTTGGCATGCCATTATGTTGACAATAAAGTGGTAAAACCACCACCATAACACTGACAATTTTCAGAATATAAGGCATTCCACTGATAATCTATCTCCATAGGAACACTGCTGCTCCATTGGCGGTTTGTATCCATGGGTGCATAAGATGTAAACATACCTGTTAAAGGCATGATTCCATAAGGATAAGTTTGCTTCTTCATCATCATCATTCCAAGTTAGAACGGTCCTACCGGGCGTGCCAATTTATGTTAGCAAAAAAAATTTAGTTTAAGCCTGATTGACAATGATTGATCTACAGGCTTAAACAAATTTTAATAAACACAAAACGATCAGGTTTTGTAGTTGAGTTCTATGCCTTAAACAGATTAAGGACTTCCCTATAGCTAATTAAGTAAAGAAGGATTTGAACATAAAATAATATATATTTATTCAATTAAATTGTCACTTGTTATCAATTACAATAGATCAAACAAGAACAAAAAAATGAAAAAATACAGCAATCAACAGAAAGAAGAGAAGTGAGGGTTGGAAAAGCTATTATTAATCTACTCCTAACAAATGCTAAGTTAAACTACTCCTAAATAAATATCACGTTTTGTGAATGGTGGTTGAGATGATTCCTTTCTCTTTGTATCTCTCTTGGCCTATTTATAGACTCAGCCACATGAGAGAAAGAGATAACTTAAGCCCACGATTTCCTCAACAACCCATGATTTCTTTAACATTATCCATATCCCATGTTTGATAGTAACCATTTTGCAAATTTGGTATTTGATTTGATCTTGACTCTTTGATCTCAGCAACTAACTTCAAATTGTTGCAATTGGTAACCTTCTAACCTGTCATTTAACATGTCATCTTGTCACGTTCTTAACATATCTGTTATGTCATGTTAGCATGCATGTCGACAGAAATAATAACAATAAAAACAAATGTGGTCAATGTTATTATTTGAAAATAGTTTATGATTTCAATCACAGACCATAATCGAACTTGGCCATAATTAATAGGCCACAATCGACAGAAAAATAAAATGTGATGCAAATAATTTTTAAATAATAATTTTAGGGGCAAAATAAAATTTCCTCTTGAATCAAACATTTTACTCAAATTTAAAAACAAATTAGATGTAAAAATTGATGAAGGATTCTTAGAGTATCTCCAACGTTTCATCAAATTTGAATAAAAATTTGATAAAATGTTTGATTTGATATGATACACTCCAATGGTTTCATCAAATTTGGCAAATCATCCGGCTAGTCGTCTGGCCTAAAGTAAGTTTTCATCAAATCTTTTTACAAAATTCTTAATTCATTCTAAAATCTGATTGACAAGCAGGTTGTTCAGTCGATCGTCCACCAACAGTTACCTGCAAAATTTGATAAAAAGATAAAGATTTCCTCGATTTGATGAAAAGGTTGGAGCTCAATTTGAAGGCATTTTTTTATCAAATTTAAATTTAATAAAACAACTGCTATCTACAAAATTTGATGAAAAGATACACACAAAAAAATCTCTTACTTTGATGAAAAGGTTTGGTTCTCTTTTCATTTGCTATGAATTTGATGAAAGAATTGAGGCCCAGCATCAAAGCGTTTTTTATCAAATGGGTTCTTACAGCGTCCAAGATCCATGAGCTGCAGCCCGACCCGGCTGGCATGGAATTACGACCCGCTCCGAAGTCCGAGTTGGCCCTCGCGCTCTCTCTCTCTCTCTCTCACTCTCTCTGAGACACACAAAACCATCCATTAGGGTTTCGCTACGGTTTTGATCCCTTGAATATTCGTTTTGAGTTGTGTTCTTAAACCGTTACGTTTGAAAGTTCCTTTCTTTGATCATACTTGAAGTACTTGGAAATAGAATTTATGGATATGGTAGCAATTCAATCATCAAATTTGGGATTCTCGAATGCTCATGGTTCTTTGATTGGATTTCATTCAACAAAGCAATGGAGTCAGAATTTTATGGTCGAAGTTAATTTAATAAATATCGTGGCTCTGCAACACTACAATAGGAGGGACAAAGATGTTTTCAGATTCAAATGCATTAGTTCAGATTCTGCAGCGAAGACAATCACGGTGTTGCCGGACTCTACACCGAAAACTGACAATGGAAGTGCAGGCGGCGGCGGCGGTTTCGGCGGCGATGGGAGGTTTCCGTCCGGCGGAGGCGGCGGTGATGGTGAAGAGAATGATGAGGATGAGGAAGAGTTTGGACAGGTAATGAAGTATGAGGAAGTGATGAGTGAGATTGAATTGCGAGGGGCTAGTCTTCCTTCTGATATGTTAGAGGCTGCAAAGACTATGGGACTTCGCAGACTGGTTCTTACTCGATACTTGGATTTGCAGGTGAATGAGAATTTATTTTTGATATGATTCGTAGCCCGAATAGCTCGAATGTCTCAAAACGATATCATTTGGGGGTCAACGTCGTTTTGATACATTCGAGTCATTTAGACTACACAAATTCGAGTTACGAATTACAAAGCATTTTGATAGCAAAAATTTTGTGATTTCTCTGTATATTATTTCATGGTAGATAATGATTGATATGCCCTTTTTGGCATATAAATTTTGTATGAATTTTTTTGTTTGTATGAAATCTCTGTTAACACATAAAAATTATACCAAAAAATAAACTTTACAGCGCGATTTTTTGTAAATAAACTTGTCTTGGGTGTTTTATTTTAAAATGAAATTTTTAAAGTGATCGACATCCTTCTATATGAATTATCTGATTGTATATCATTACTTGGCATGGAAAACTCTATTCATACATAAAAATTATACAAAAATACTCTAGAAGTGCTATTTTTGTAAATAAACTCATCTTCATGGGTGTTTTATTTTAAAATGAAAGGACTAGAGTGAGCTTTGTCATTCTATATGAATTTTCTGGTTGTATATCATTACTCTTTTGGTATTTGACCTTTCAGGGATCAGTTTGGCCATTAAGCTTTTTGGTGAGGTATTGTGGAATGCTTCGGAACCGAATGCTTGCTGATCCGAATTTTCTTTTTAAAGTTGGAACAGAGGTTTGTTGGTTGCTATCTTTGTTGCATTAGTATGTCACTTAACGGTTGTACTTGCACGCAATGTAATATTGTGTGTCAATTGACCAATATTGTTGAATGTTCGTATGGTGCGTGGAGCGTAAGCCAATAATTACAACCTTGTCAATTTATTTCCTTTTCATTTTTTGAAGTAACAACCATATTAACTTGAGATGACCAACAGGTGATCAAATATTGATATTGAAAGTTATGTTTAAATGTTGTAAATGTTTATACATTGAGTCCTTAGAATGTATTGTGGTGGTGTTCATCTAATAGTATATGTTATGAATTTGATGAGACACAGGTAGCCATTGATTCTGGTTGTACAACCTTTGCTGAATTTCAAAAAAGAGGAAAGGATTTTTGGGCAGAATTTGAATTGTACACTGCAGATCTTTTGGTTGGCATGGTTGTTGACATTGCTTTGGTTTCCATGTTAGCACCGTACACTCGTATTGGGAAGCCATCTACATCTAGTGGTTTCTTTGGACGATTCAATCGTGCTTGTGGAGCTCTTCCAAGCAGGTTATTGATGCATAATAGAACTTTGAAACTCTTTTTTCTCATTGGATGTACTTGCACATTTGTCATTATCATTGCACTCTCCATTTATAATTAAATTTTGCTCCCTTTTTGGCACTTCTAATACTTAATTTGGGAACTTGGCTTGAGCTGGTTTAATGATTTAAGGCCTAGAATTTGGGAATTCAATGACCTAGGTCAACGATTTTTGTCGTGCCTACTTAGCCTAAAGAGGCACAGTGGAGTTTGAGAGAATGTAAAAATATCATTAGATGGGAGATGATTTAAAACTGATGCTTGGTAACTTATGGATGAGGGGCTACCCAATTATATTTGCATTACCTCCAAATCTATTCAAGTACCTCTGTCTTTATTTTCTAAAGGTTTTATGTGTTATATAGTGCCGTTTGTCATTTCATGCCTGCATCTTGCAAAAAAGTGAAAGTGGAGGAAAGGCATTACATTTCTCAGAGTCTACAGATGTAAGAAAAATGGACCATATTTATGTTGTACAATCCGAAACTAAAGGTTTCAAGTGTAGGGACATAATTGGACCACAAGACTTAGTTTGGTTTAAGGATTTGCTTGATTTAAATTTTTAAACTTACAGCTTGGAATTAAAGGGCCTTGCTTCTAAATGAAGCTTTGATTGCCATATGCTTCTAATTAAAGGCCTTTCTTGCATATGCAGTGTTTTTGAAGCTGAAAGGCCAGGATGTAAATTCTCAATGAAACAGCGGATTGCTACCTATTTTTACAAGGTACCATAAGTTACTGGGCTTATTGAGTGAGTGGTATGCTACCTTGTGGCCTTTTGGACTACAGATCTCAAAAAGAAAACTTTCTTTCCTGCCACTCTATCTTGAAAATCCCACTTACTTGCTTCAGACCTTTTTCTGGTTAAATATTCTTGCTTCGTCATTTAATATCGCAATAGGGGAGAAGAAAAAAAAAATAGAAATAAATGTATGTTTGCTTCATCTCTTGTTTTCATTGTTGATTTATCTAATTCAAGTGTTTTCTAGATTGGGTTTTAGTTATGGTTACAGTATGCCTGAAGTTGGGTTTAGTAGTTTTTTCTGCCATCTAGTTTTTACCATTAACTGTGATTGATTTATTCATTTGGGATTCAGGGCATATTGTATGGCTCAGTTGGATTCGGGTGTGGTCTTATTGGCCAAGGCATTGCAAATTTGATCATGACTGCTAAACGGTACAGTTCTATCTAGATGCATCTTGTATTAGATGTCTTTCTAGAATATATTCAGTGTAGTGACTAAACGATGTATATGGGACATGATCTCTATTCTATATTTTATTTGTTAAGACTAGTGTATAACCCACAGGAAAAGATCATTTGCCTAGAAGCATGGAAGAAATGGAAAACAGCATCTCAAGCTTTGAATTTCCTTTGTATGAAATTCCATCCTACAAATCAACATGTCAACTCTAGAGTTCCAGAAACATTTTGCATCCTTTCTGCAAACTGATAGCTTAAAATATTATGGCGTGGCCTATTATAGGATGTAGGAAGGCTTTTAAGCTTACTATATCATGTAATTTGATCAAGTTGGGGGGTAGTTCAGTTGAAAATAATGTTGGCTGAATAAAAACATGCTAAATGTATTCAACCTAGATGTAAAGGTTTCTGCTGCCATATAATTTGATTCAAATCCCATCCTTCCATTCTAAACTTTGTGATCATGATTTGACTCTCTAACCACGATGCTTTTTCTTCTCTCTCTCTGTCTCTCAGAAAATCTATGTCAATAATCCTTTGACTGACTTTGTTTTTTTTTTGATAGTTTGCAATATTGACTCTTTTTTTTTTTTTTTTTTTTTGTTGCAATCGGTCTAATTGTTGTATGATTAAAGCAAAGTGACGCTAACAAGTAGTCTACAGTTAAAAGACAGCCATGATGGTCAATATGCTTCCTGCCTGATTGTCCAATTTTTCAAGGAAAGTTTATCATGAGAATCATGAATGAGGGGATGGTTCATCAAAAAGTTTATCTAAACCTTCTGAAAAACCTCATACTGGGACATTTATATAAGTAATTGTGTCCTTAACTAATATTTTTTTTTTCCCTTTCTTTCCTTATGTCTTTTTTTTTCTTTTTTCTTTTTTCTTTATTTAACGTTATTTCTTTTGGCCTTACTGGTGTTTCAGCTTATAGATCCTTAATTGCGCAAGCTTTTTACAATTTTGTGGCTTTATCTTGAGGATGATAATTACACTTCGTTTTTTGTACTTTGATATGGCCAGAAGCATAAACAAATCTGATGAGGACATTCCTGTGCCACCTCTATTTCAAAGTGCTGCTCTTTGGGGTATGTCTAACTGTTTATTCTGGATCATGTTTTTGGCCGCTATTCTTGTCTTAATATGAACTTTATGGTTACTTGACTAGTATTTAGCTTAGGCTATTGGCAGACGAAGCTTGAATTTTTATCCTCATCCACTATATCCACTTCAATTAAATGTTCTGAAAAAAAAAAGGAAAGGCTTTCTTTTTTCGCAATTTGAGGTTTCTGCTGCTTTTGCCTGAAATCAAAAGGAGGTTGATCTGTTTGGGTTATAATTAGGTTTTCAAGTGCAGTGTACTTTGTTATTATACAAAAATTTTGAGACTTCATTGGTTGACTAGGAAAATAGTTTTCACATTTCAAACCCTGTAGTCCTGTCAAGGTTTCACGGGCTGCTTCCACAATCTTTCTCATCAGTAAGCAATTGTGGTTAGATTTTTTATCAGGCTAGTCACTTACTAGATTCGACATATAATGAAGTTGGACATCATTTGTTTCAGATTGATTCTGATTTTGTTTAGAGAAGAATTTGTTCTGCTGTTTGGTCTTCTATTATTGTGTATGTGTATTGCGTAATTGTTTTATGGCCGCCTTTATAACCTTATATCTCTACTTTTGTGTTGGGGTATGTTCATATCTTCTACAACTAGTTACTCCTTACTCATGTTCATGTTATTTTAGCCTTGATACTAAAATATCCTTTAGTTAGAGATGTGAGGTGGGGTTGTTTTGGTAAAGCCTTGTCTGCCACTCACGTATTTATTTTGCATGTTGGTTTTACTTTGTTATCAGGTGTTTTTCTTGCGGTGTCTTCCAACACTCGCTATCAAATCCTAAATGGGCTGGAGCATCTGGTTGAAGCATCTCCTTTGGCGAAGCGGGTCCCACCTGTTGCAATGGCTTTTACTGTGGGAGTGCGATTTGCCAATAATATCTATGGTGGAATGCAATTTGTGGATTGGGCGAAATGGAGTGGCGTGCAATAGCAACATCTCAACTCCACTAAGAGTTTTGGATCTTCAACTCTTATGAGCTTCCTCAGTCTCATACTTTCAGTAGGCTAGATATACAAACTATATTTCAAATTCTCAAGAACACGATTAGATTTTAATTTGTAGATTGGGCGAAATGGAGTGGCGTGCAAAAGCAACATCTCAACTCCACTAAGAGTTTTGGATCTTCAACTCTTATGAGCTTCCTCAGTCTCATACTTTTAGTAGGCTAGATATACAAACTATATTTCAGATTCTCAAGAACACGATTAGATTTTAGATTGGTTATGGTGGTTATGCCTTTTTACATAGGTTGTGTATGGAAACAACCTCTATGCACACGGAAGAAGGCTGTGCACCTGACAGACCAGAGCAGTGGAGGGAACTTGGTGCTCTGAGCTGTTGAGAAGTCGCCTCTGTTGCTAGCCTTCATGTATGACACAGGTGCAAAAGTGAAGATGTGAGGTCCGGGTGAGTCCTTAATAAAGCATGCATTTATTGTTTAGGGGATTGTTGTATATTAATGGAATTTGTTGTTTTTGAGATAAAATTTTTAATTATTTTGCTTTATTCTTCTATGGGAGGAGTGGACAAATGTTGGGCCGAGCTGGATTCAGGTGAGCTAACACTACATATAACACTACATATAAGGGATTTTGTGTCTGTCCAAGTCCTAACCCGGCCCTAACATTGGACATTTATATTTGCCCAAACCCAGTCTAAAAAATAATTTTACATCCCAAGTCTACCAATAGGCCTATATGTTAAAAAAAATTAAAACATTTCATAATTAAATTCAATTACACATTATATTTTTGAGATAAATATATTGACATTATGATGAATATATAGATTTTGTGTGTAAATCGAATAATTTTTTAAGTAAATTCAATCACACATTATTGCAAATGTAAGTTTTAATAAAATTAATAAAGGTAAAGTTTAAATCTCAACAAGAAATATATATTTTAATGTGTTATAAATAAATAAATAAATAATTTAATAACGGGTTGCGTCGGGTTGAATTGGGTTGAAAGTATAAATTTTAAATTTAACTCATTAATATTTCAGATTGGAAATACAGTAATGATTTAGATCACTAATTTTGGTGCTCTAATGGAGCACTAATGACATGACAATAAACAAAAAAAAAAAAAACAAACAAATCAAGACCAAAACATTACATCACTATGGGTGGAGTTCACTGTCAACTCATTAACGCTACCTTTAGAACTCAAAAATTAGAGCTCTAAAGTATTTTTTTTAAAAATATTGATGTTTTTTTAAAAAATATTGATGCAATTCGATCCAATGAATTAAAATAATTTTTTAAAAATTTTAAAAGAATAAGATTGAATCGGTCGACCGGTGGGCAATAGACCGAAGTCTGCCCCTATATGGGAGTATCCATTAATGGAAATAAGCTTCTCTCTTAAGCAACATATGACAGAGCAGTGGATGTTGGTTGGTTGGGCTCGCTAGCAGGTCGTCGTGCGTGTCCACGGGTCAACGTAAAAAATGAGGATTTATTTGGGAAGTAAGTTGATTTTTTGTTTTTTTTATATTTTTTTTTAATTTTTTAACTTTTTTTTAGTCTGGGCTAAAACTTCGCTGGGGAAGGTTTTTTTTAGTTTTTTTGACTTTTTTATAAGAGAAAAAATGTAATGATTATGAGTTGGATGTAATGTTTTATCTTATTGAATTAAAAAGTCTATTTTATTTTTTTATGACTATTTTAGCCAAAAAAAAATCGAACCCTCCTTCTCAAATGAGCTCTAAAATGTTTTAGAATTTTTTAAGAAATCTTATGCTTCTAGAATAATGAAAAGGAGAGTAACTTGGGGCAATTTGGAAATTTCATAAAAAAAAATAAATGTTTTGGCTTTTTAATCTTTTTACATAAAAAAATCACAAAAAAAATAATTTTTTTACACAAAAATGTTCTTAAAAAGCCAAAAAAGTAAAAAAAAAATCAACTTTTTACGAACTTTTCAAAACATAAAATAATAATGTGTATATTTTAAGAGTAAATTGATGATAAATTTTATTTAAGGAGGCTGTTAGGTATTACGTCTAATGGTTATTTTTTGGTTGGTGAGAGATTCATTTTTTGTGAAATAGTTTGGTAAAAAGTCCTTTTGTTTGTTTTAAATGATATTCTGTTTTTAATTTTGGCCCGGTTTGGTAGAACTGTGAGAAAGTGATTATAGATTATAACTTTACAGATTATAGCTTATGGCTGTGAACATAAACTGTTAACCTGTTTGGTACAGCCGTGAAATTATGGATTTAAGAAGAAGAGTAATGTTTGGTTGATAAGTTGTAAAATAGTTTTTACCTGTGTAATTGTCTTTTTTACCCTCATATGATATAAAAATGATAATTTTGTCATTTTTTTTTCAGGCCTCGTTTGGGAACAGGCTAATTTAGTAACTTTTTGGCTATTTGGCTAAAAAGGTAGGTAAAAAAAACTTGTATGTTTGGGATGACTTTTTGGCTAATTACGAAAAGATGTGCAAAAAGTAGAGAGAAAAGAGAATCTTTGACTTTTTGGTATGGGTTGTTGGCTTTTTGGCTAATTTAGTAACTTTTTGGCTAATTGGCTAAAATAGCCTCTTGCCAAACGAGGCCTAAACAATAATGACCGGACATAAACCAAAGCAATATAATATGGTAGTTGGATAAGTGGAATCCTCTTCTGGGAAGAGGGGTCACTGCTGTGGTTAAAGCACAGCAGTGACTGTTATACTTCAATTTGAGATGTATTATAAACATATTTTTATGATTTGAATCGTTCATTTTGTAGGATTTATTGAGTACTTCATGTCTACCAAAAATCATATTAATCGGATATCAATAACTATATGATCGATAATCAAAAAAATAAATAATAAGTTTTTCTTTTCAGAAATAGCATAAAAAATATACTATTTGATCATATATTTATTGATATCCGATTAATATGATTTTTGGTAGGAATGAAGTACTCAACAAACCCTATAAAATGAACGATTTAGATCATAAAAATATATTTATAATACATCTCATATTAAGATACAACAGTCACTGCTGTGCCTTAACCACAGCAGTGACCCCTCTTCCCATCTAATGGTTGAGACGTAACTTGCTGGATCATGTGTATATAGCAGAATTTGTGCAAATTATATAAAAGCGGGGCGGAGCGGGGCGGTTACATAGGCGGATTGGTATTTTCCAACTGCCACCCGCGCCGACCTGCCACTGTTGGGCTCGAGCTTTAATTGGTGATAAATCCAATTTAAGGAGGGTATAAGACATTAAGTAGATATTTTTTTATTGATGAGAGGTCCACACTTTATAAAATAGTTTGGTGAGAAGTCTAGAACATTTTGTTTCTAATTTTACCCCTTAACTTTTTTTATCTGTTTGACTTTTCGTTGACTATTTGTTGAAATTTTTTTTATCTATTCAAATTCCTATCTGTTTAAATTTTTTATCTATCAAATTTTTTTATTTGTTCAAAGCTTATTGAAATTTTTATATGTTTAATTTTTTTTTATCTATTCAAATTTTTTATCTATTCAAATTTTCTACCTGTTCGTTTTTTATCTATTTAAACAACAATCATCACTAGCACCATCATCCTCCTCATCGAGTCCACCAAACCTTATATGTATATATATATATATATATTTTCTATTCTCTCTATCTCCCTATCTATCTCCCTATCTATTGCAATATGTTTCATCATCATCATCATCAACAACATATCTGTTCATTTTTTTTATCTATTGAAATACAAAGCCCCTATTTGTTTAAATCTTTATTTTCTTTCTCCATTTCCCTATCTGTTGCAATATCTGTCCATTACAAATTTGTTTCTTCATCAACGTTATACGGAGACATTTCATCATCATCTTTCTTGTCTTGAATCTTTGCCTTGATATTGTCAATTGTATCTAAGCTCTTGTCACGACCCAAACTCGTCCCTATGGGTTTAGCACCGTAACCGGCCAGTAATCCGTGATTACTAAAGGCCTGCTTATCAGTAAAGACAGTAATACAGAGTACAGGGGCTGGCGGAAGCCAAAACAGTAATAAAAGATGTCCAATGAGTTGTGACAGTCTGTATGCAAAAAGACTTTTTAGACATACTCACAGTCAGAAGCAAAACAGTATGTACATACATATACAATCATCCAAGACAGGGACCTAATCCCTATTAGAACAGTACAGTACAAATTTAAACAGTGTTACAAAACAGATACATAAGGGTGAACTAAAACACCCCAAAAAGTCCTAGCTTGAAGGACTTGGAACCTCGCTGTGAGGCACATTGGTTGGCTTAACAAAAAGGGAGCTTAACCCAACGCTCCTAGTTCCATTCTGGTGCCTGGACACCTACATATATATATATATAAACAGTAAGCTAAAGCCCAGTGAATAATATATACGTAAAGAGGTTAAGAATGAATGTCTTTTCAGTATTTAAAACAGTCATTTGAACAGTATATCAGTTATTCGATCATAGCAGTCATAAGTGATACATCCAATAGCAAACAGTACAGTAGGTCTTATCAGACCGAACAGTCAATTGATGGCCATCATATCAGTCAACGGTAGTGGTTCCAAACATGGGAACTGACAGAGATCTCTGTAACAGTAGTAGTAATAGTTCAGTAACAGTATATTGCTATGGATGCCACGAATACAGTTCGCAAATAGGACAAACATTCATTCAATAATCAGTGTCATTTCATTAAGCAGTACAGTCATTTGTTCAGAAAATAATCTCAATTGAACATATCTTTACAACATTGTTACTCACAGAGTTCTGGGCTATAGGTAAGCTAGTGCGCGTTCTCAGATGCCAACCCTACACAGTTACAAGATGAACACACACTAAGTCACATGCTTAGGAATCGAAGACTTAGTCCCTACTTAGGCTCGGTGTGGTTCTACATCAATAACCTCATTAAGATACCTTAAACTAGGCTTAAGAATGCCTATGATGGAATGAGGATGCAAAGATACACTTTTAAACACTTTTCAAAATTTTGCTGAAACAGGGGTCTTGCTCGAGCGTGGATTTCTCTGCTCGAGCAGACATGCAAACAAAAGGGCTCCGCTTGAGCGTGGATTCCCCACTCGAGCGGACCGTAAAAGTATTGGATGCACGAAATTCACGCTCGATGGGCGCTCGATACCCGCTCGAGCGTGAGACACAAGTTCTCGCTCGAGTGTGCATTCCCTCGCTCGAGCGGACTGTAAACACATGCAAAGTACTGGATACATGCATTTCCCGCTCAAGCGTCACTTTTCCTCCTCAAGCGGACTGCATGAACACAGGTTGTACGCTCGAGCGTGGAGTTCCTTGCTCGAGCGTGAGTCCAAATTCTGGAAATTTCAGATTGAACCTTCAAGCTCAAAATCAACTTTAAATGTACCAAAATCGATCCTTTTGGGCTAATTTTCTAGAAAATACTTGTAAACTCATAGTATAATATGTTTTGAAGATCAATTTGAGGAATCCAAGCCCAAAGGTAGTTCAATTAAATAGCATTTTCAAATAAACCTC